TGTGTGTGTGTGTGTGTGTGTGTGTGTGTGTGTGTGTGTGTGTGTGTCCCATTTTATTGTTCCTGATAAATGGCTGGAGCTATAGAATAACCTGAAATAATTCCAGGAAGGTAGCAGTCACTATTCATTTGGCTCCATCTGCCACATTAATTCTGATCATATACGAACCCACTGAGTAGACAGTAGGTGTCAGATAGACGTGAATGTTTTGTGTTTTTCTCTTCCCCATCATATTTCCAGGGTTACAATTTTGAAGATAATACCCAATGGAATTATGGAAATGTGTTCCTATAGGTGAAATTTAGAGCATATTTCTAAGGGATTCAGATTCACTCATTTCTAAAGCCTAAAGATGTAGCTTTTACATTCTGAAACACTGTAAGTGGGGAACAGGAGGTCTGAAAGTTCAGGAATTTTTCCTTGTTTATTTTTCTCTTAATGCACAAGAAAGAATAATATATATCCTCTGGTCCTTCTTCTTCTTCATTTGAACTTTATCTCCATTGTACAGCAAGAATATAATAAAAACCAGAAATTAATTGGACATCCAAAGAACGCTAAATTATAAGAGTGTAGTTCTGGAACTGCAGTGAATATACATAGAGGTGGACACTGTTCTCTGAGAGGTGGTTTTGTTTTTGAAATTGAGTATAGTTATGTGCTTATCCAGGGCAGGAACTGGGTCATTCTTCTCTCAGGTGCCTAGAATAGGGCCTAGTGTATCTTAAACAAGGTAACAGGAGCTAAGATTATACAGCAGTTATTCCATGCCAGGCGTTGCTTTAAAGCACTTACATGTATGAATTCATTCACCCTTTTAGAAGTTGCTTCTTTGTAGCAGATGTTCTGCCCCACCGCTGCCCACCTGCACTCACTAGCAGCTGCAGAAGGCAACTTCCCATCTCAGCCCTGGGCACCTGCAACTCTTCCTGTCTCTCTGGTTTCTCCATCCTGGGAGCTTGCTGGACCAGAATGATGCACAACCCTCAACCAATGGCAGATGGGAGATATTGGATAAATGGCACAGCCTCCGCAGCCCCTAGTGGGATGATTCTAAGGCGTGTTTTACATGATTTCATAAAGGGCCTCCAGGGATTACTGCCTACATGCTGGTGCCTAGAACTTGCTCATTGCCTCATGCTTTATCACTTTTTCCCCTTCCCTGATTTGCTTCCTTCACTTTCCTCACTCTCTCACTGTGCTCCTTGGGATCAGCTCCCAAATAATCTACCTGCACTCAAGTCCTTGTCATCTTTCGGTCTACTTGTGGAGGTACCAAAGTTAGACATTCTTGCTCTTATAATTTTTGTGACATGAATGAATGAACAAATGAATGAATTTGAGAGTTACCTAACTTTTCCAGGCAAACCAGAAAGCGTTCAATTTTTCATAGATTCTTCCATTAAGTTAATGTACTCAGGCAGCAATACAGCTGCAGTTGTTAATGAAACAGTAGGGAGTTATGCTTAAGTAAAGACACAGGAAGGAATAAATTAACTGAATACAAAACAATCATGGAAGGATCTGGGTTAGTTTAACATACTTTGAGTACATCTGAGCGCCTGCTGAACATTGGCGAGAGATAACTTCCAGCTACGCTTTTCTATACATTCCTATTATCAAGAATTGTTTAAGACAAAGTAAGATTTCACTGAGAAATGACGGATAATTGAGAGAAAACAAAGCACAATAATTGGGAAGATTATTTTTGATTCCTTTGAATTATATTGAAAAATGACTACTGAATTGCATATATTAATGATAACACTTATTTCTTACTTTTGTACTTGGGACTAAGGCCAAGGGAGTGCATTGATTATTGATGGTATATTACTGAGTATTGATTTTATGCATTTGTTGTTGCGAGAGTAACTATAACCGTACTTATTTTATTTTTTTTGTTTTTGTTTCTTTTCTTGTTTCTTTTAATTTAACATCTTTATTGGAGTATAGTTGCTTTACAATGCTGTGTTAGTTTCTGTGTATAACAAAGTGAATCAGCCATATGCATACATATATCCCCATATCCCCTCCCTTTTGAGCCTCCCTACCACCCTTCCTATCCCACTCCTCTAGGTCATCGCAAAGCACCGAGCTGATCTCCCTGTGCTATGCTGCTGCTTCCCATTAGCTAACTATTTTACATTTGGTAGTGTATATATGTCAATGACTCTCTCTCATTT